CAATTCAAGGGGGGGAGCGAAAGAGAGAGAGAGAGAGAGAGAGAAAGAGAGAGAGAAAGAGAGAGAGAGAGAAAGAGAGAGAGAGAGAGAGAGAGAGAGAGAAAGAGAGAGAGAGAGAGAGATATCACAGAAAAAACATACTAAAAAAAAACCCAAAGGGGACATAACCAAACTAATTCAATTCCGACGTGCTAATTTGTTTGATTACTTCCCTTGCATGCGTGTCGCCCGTATCTCCCCGCGTGCTAGGAGAGGGCGGCCGGGTGAACCCAAGTGCAACAAACTCTCACTGACAAGCTACCAGCGAGAAATAAATGCATGTATCGTGTTTGTACCGATTCTACAACCATGGCATGGGTGCCACAATTTTTTCCCCCTTTTTTTTCTTCTTTTTCTTTTCCTTTTTCTAAATTTCATTATCCTACTGTTTCCTTTTTATTTGCAATGCAACAGTTTTTCTACTGTCAATTATAGAGGTCAATGTAATTTTTTTTCTGGTTAATTAAAACACTTCCCCCCCCCCTCTCTCTCTCTCTCTCTCTCTCTCTCTCTCTCTCTGTCTGTCTCTGTCTCTCTCAATCTCTAAGAATAATACATTTTTAAGGACCATAAAAAAAAAATGAGATTGGCTAAAAATAAAGATTTTTTTTTAAATCCCAAGAAAGAAAAAAATTTATAAAAAGCTGCCAGACAAATTAGATCAGCCAAAAATTAATAATAAACAAGAGAAAAAGAAGACAACAGAAGCAACTGGGAGGCACGTCAGCAACTGCAATTCTCCCAAGAGGTAAAAGATGACTCTGAAAATGGCAGTCACTTCAAAATGTATTCTTCTTCTTCTTCTTATTATTATTATTATTATTAATAATAATAATATTATTTGTAATATTATTATTATTATTATCATTATTATCACAATCATTGTAATTACATATATCTTCATTATTACAGTTATTATTAATATTATTATCATTATTACTATTATCATCCAATTTTATTATTGTTACAATTTTTTAAATTATTACTACTATATTAATATGTGAGGCATCCTGGTGAAATCATGCACTCGTCAAAATAATGAAACCAGAGAAATCGGCATTTTTCGGCCAGTTTGAAAATTATTTCCTCAAATTTTTGTTTTTTGGCTCGAACACCTTGAAAGTCAATGAAAGTCCATTCAAAAACACAATTACGAGAGAAGTTCTATGGCAAAACGTAGATTAAAGGCACAAAAATGTACATTTGCAGCTTCCAAGGACTCTTATGCTATGGAAGTCACCAAACGTTGGCGGCCATTTTCTCGCTAATTTTACTTCTGAGACCAGGCGACCCCCACCTCCTTCAATCTCAAGAATCTCGACTTCTATTCAAGATAAATTGTTATTTTTTTCATCGAAAGCAAGGCAAATGAAAAAACTTTAAGATGATACATAATATATACCCAAAAATTGACAAACGCCCGATTCCACTGCGTCGTGACACATATCATTATTATTTTCATTATTCTCATCATCATACTATCATTCTTCTACCCTGCGACCCTCCCTCCCCCAAGTAGGCCCCTACCTGGTGTATTCTCTCGGTCTCCTGCAGCTTTTCCTCCCAGGTCTTGGACATCTCCTTCATCAGCTTCTCAGACTCCACCAGCCTCTCTGCCAGGTCCGGAGCCTTCATGCTCTGTCACAAAAGAGGGGGGGGGGGGATTAAAATTTGTTTAACTACTTGCCTTCATGCTCTGTCGCAAAAGGGAAGGGACGAAAAAGAGAGGGTCTGTTTAACTACGAGCCTTCATGCAGACACACACACACACATCCCCTCACATATTCCCCCCCACACACTCATCCCCCACACACCTGAGCCTCACTAAGCTGCACCCTCAGAGTTTCCACCTCCTCTCTCAGCTCTCTGATGATGCGGGCGTTGGGGTCTTCATTTCCCCTG